ATTTTTATACATGAATGTTCTTACTTTCACATTTAACAAGTTTTTAATCCAGAGCTGGAATTTGTTACATGGTATAATGCAGGGATTCATTTTATTATTCCTAATGTTTAGCCAACTGGCTCAGCATTATTTACTATACAGTGCCATCCTTTCTTCATTAATTTATAATGCCTCCTCCACCAAGCTTTAGAAAAGACTCATGTCTGTTTCCTGATTTCTTAAAACTAGAAACAACCTTATATACGCTCTCAGATTCCCCTTAACATTATTTACTGAAGGAGCTGCCTGTCTCTTGAACTGTTTGCTGTCTAACCACTGTGCTGTAACACATGAAACTAATATAAAATAATACTGAGTGTCAACTATAATTGAAAAATTTTTTAAAGTGAGGGAGAAGGTGAAGAGGAACAAGAAGTTCAAATTTCCAGTTATAAAATAAATAAAATTGACTCGAGTCACATAACATTAAGATTTAACAAGTTAATGCTATTTTTAACAACTTAAAAATCAACTAAAGGGAACATTATCAAAAACAAAGGAAAGATTATTTAATATATAGTACCTGTACTGGACAACATTTATCAGGTTAACAAACCATTCACTCTGATGTACAACAGACGCAGCAATCACTTGACACATCGAAATATTCCTGAAGAGTAAAGTTCATGTATTCACGAAACAAATATTTGTCTGTTGTAGGCCAGGCACCAGGGATAGAGAAACAGGTAAACCCTCTAGCCTCAACACACTCAACCAAACAAAATAAAAACATCTGTATATAAAAAGGGTTAAAAAAAGAGAAGCCTGGGAAAATATTTATAGTACACAAGATAACAGAAACACATTGACATGTGTCATATAAAGATATTTGTAGAATAAATCACAATTTGTCTTAAAAATCATTGATTCTGTCAATCTCAAGAGGTCACATTTCCGAGAAATCCTAAGAAACTATGTATTTTTGAAAAAGAGCATTTGAGAATACGAAGTTCTGAATTAGCCATCTTTGTTTAAAATGTTAAATGGAAAAGGGCCTGTAACTATTTTTATACTAATTGACTTAAAATGTAATTTAAAGTTATATTTTTCTGCATATTAATATCAGAAAGTTAATTTTTAAGTCTAGGTAAAGAGGTTTTCTAGTGATGGCTTCTTAATAGTTCCATGACTTATAATATTGAAACTACTAGGTTTTATTGAAAAATGTTTATTCACTTAATATACAGATAAGTGAATGTAGCAGTTCTCAAAGTATGACCCAAGGGGATGTTCAGAGGTAATAGATTTACTATTGTTGTTTTACATAATAAACACTTTTTGAAATGTCTGTTTTAATTGCCAATACAGTAACCATCAATACAACTAAGATAAACAAAGGCCCTTTGCAGTCCGTGTTAAGAGTATAAAGGGTCATGAGACTAAAAAGCTTAAAAATTGCTTATTAATGCATCTGTTTTGTTGACCTACATGTAACATGAAACAGACCAAGCAAAGGGTAAGTAGGTTCACATTTCTACAGACTTGTATCCTAGTCACTTCGACTTGTTTTCAATGACTATTAGTATTCTATTACATTTATCCAAGATACTGTTAGAATAAATAAAACAAAATCACAATGAAAGTTTGTATACACATTATAGGAATCACAAAGAAAGTCGATCTTCAGAGTGACCTACGCCAACTAGATGCACGCAGCTGACTTTTAATTTCAAGTGATTCTAAGCAGTAGGGACAATGGCAAGTTCTAGTATAACAGAAATGTTCTCTCCAGGTTTCTAAAACATTTCTAACATATGATTTTGACTGTGGCTACAATCTTTAATTTATACAAAATTTCCAAACTTGTCTCTCCAGCTTTCCTTCCGATTCTAGGCTACCAAATATTCTTCCAATAAATACTGTCTGTTTCTGTTTAAATCAGCCTGGTAGACTTCCCGAGTTACGAACTATGTAGCCCTTATTTTTTCTTCTCTTTGCCTATAATT